AGTGTAAAACATGATCTGCCTTGTAAACGATCACTTAATTCACAATAAAAGCTTAAAATTAAAGGATGGAAAAAAATAATCAAGGTAATGACCGTCAGAAACAAGTAGGAGTGCAATATTAATTTCTGATCCAATAAAAGAATTTTGAATCCCACCTTTAAAATACATGAGTTCAGAGTTATAGTCAGATTATATTGGAGTCCTGGACTGCTCACTGCAAGGTCAGCAGTTCAAACCTATCAGCCACTCTTTGGAAAACCTATATGTGGTCTCTGTGAGTTGGAACCAACTCAACAGCACTTAATGAAAAGAGTATATTCAGAGTTAAGACATTTCTGAATTATCTCTCTCTTTTTTTTTTTTTTAAGTTTTTATTGTGACTTGAGTAATAGTTTACATGGGAGGACATTAGCTTTACATCCATCCTATCGTATATCGTTTCATTGCCATGATTACAATTCCCTTCATACACCATCAGACAACCAAAGGATGTACCCCTCAAGCCTGCCCCTCAGTCGTCGGCACACAGCCCCTCTCCCTCTCTGGGTCTAGAGTCCCCAGCCCCTCCATCACTCCACGTCTTCATCTCTGCCTCCATTTCTGGCGTCACTGATTCTCTGGGTAGGGTCCTGCACTCCGCTCTTCTCACTTGATGGTCCCAGGGACCTCCTCTTCTGAACTACAAAATCAACCACTCCCCTCCTTTTGTTGCAAAACATCTACCTTTACATTTCTGACCCTCACAGTCAGTCCTGATAGCAATTCTGAAAGATCTCCTTTTGAAATGCTTTTAAATTGTAAATAATAACAGACAAGCATGTAGAGTACCTGAAAGCCATTTCCTATTAATGTCACTAAGATATAGTTATGAATTGTAGACTTTTATATGATTATTTGTATTTTGGATACTATCTGCTTATCTGTTGTTCAGTACTGTAGAGTCAACTTCAACGCATAACAACCCTGTGCACAACTGCCTGTTTCTGTGCCATATTCATAATTGCTGTGTTTGAGCCCATTGTTGCTGCTACACTGTCAGTCCATCTTGTCGTGGGCCGTCTTTATTTTTTCTGACCCTCCATTTTATCAAGCATGCTGCCCTACTCCAGGGACTAGTCCCACCTGACAACATGCCTCAAGTATGAGAGACAAAGTCTTGCCATCCTGGCTTCTACGGAGCATTCTGGTTGTACTTTTTTCAACACAAATTTGTATGTTCTTCTGGCAGTCCTTGGTACTTTCAGTATTCTCCAATACCATAATTCAAAGGCATTCATTCTTCTACAGTCTTCCTTATTCATCGTCCAACTTTCACATTCAGATAAGGTGATTGAAAATACCATGGCTTGAATCAAGTGCTCCTTAGTCCTCTTGAACACTTTAATAAAGAGTTTTGTGTAGCAGATTTGCCTAGTGCAATACATAATTTGATTTCTAGGCTGCTGCTTCCATGAGTGTTGATTGTGGATACAAGCATAATGAAGTCTTTGGCAACTTTAATTTTTTCTCTGTTTATCATATTGTTATTTGTTGGTCCATTTGTGAGACTATTCGTTTTCTTTACATTAATGCCCAATCCATACTGAAGACTACATATAGTCTTTTATCTCCATCAATAAGTATTCCAAGTCCTCTTTGCTTCCAGCAAGCGTGGTTGTGTCATGTGCATATTGCAGGTTGTTGATGACTCTTTCTCTAATCCTGATACTACTTTTCTTCTTCATCTAATCCAGTTTCTCAGATTATTTGCCTAGCATGTTGTTGTTGGTAAGTGCTGTCAAGTTGGTTCCAACTCATAGCAACACTGAATAAGGTTTCCAAGGAGTGGCTGGTAAGTTTTAACTGCTGACCTTGTGGTTCAAACCAACCTTGAGGTCGAGTGCTTATCCTAGGGTGCCATACCAGGATACAGATTGCATAAATATGGTGAAAGGATACAACCCTGACACATACCTTTCCTGATTATAAACCACTTAGTATCCCCTTGTTTTGTTCTAATGAATGACTCTTGGTGTATGTACAGGTTCTTCATGAGACCCCCTCAACTAAGTGTTCTGGAATTCCCATTCATTACAATGTATATAGCTTATTAATTATATTTAAACATTTTAAGTGGATAAAAATGCTACATCAATGTGTGTGTTTAATTTAAATATTACCTGGGAATGTTAGTTTACTGGTAAGTCCTTTAGGATGGACTATCGAGATTTTGAATATGTCTTCATTTTATAAATGAGGACTCTTATCAGAAAATATTAGATCCCCTTGCTAAATTTAGGGTCTTAGTGCTTTCTTTGCCTCTTAAATATACAGTAGGATTTTTATTTTAATTTTTTTTTAACTTAAAGAGAATTGATCTGAAGAACAGGTATAACTGGCATCGTCAGTAGATCTTATACTGTGGATCAGAGTCACAGAGCCCAAAGAACTCTTAAAGGAAACCTTACAGTGCTTCCGTATGCATATTTTTAAGTAAAAGATTTTTAAGCCAGGGTAAAGCTAACTTTTTTTTTTTTTTTAGGTTTTTATTGTGGATTGAGTGAAAGTTTACAGGGCAGATCATCAGTTTTACATTCAATTAATCATACATCTTGTTTCATTACAATGATTATAATCCCCTGGTAGCGTAGTGGTTACAAATCGGGCTGCGAATCGCAAGGTCAGCAGTTCAAAACTACCAGCTGTTCCGCAGGAGAAAGATGAGGCTTTCTGCTCCCATAAAGATTTAAAGCCTCGGAAACCCTGTTCGGGGTCGCTATGAGTCGGAACCGACTCCTCGGCACTTAACAACAACAACATGTACTATTAGTTAACAGTATTTCTCTCTATTCATTTTAGCTCTTTTTTTTAAAAAAAAACACTCATATATAATAATTTAAATCACCAAAGGGCACATTCTGCAAGTCTGCCTCCTGGCCACCAGCTCTTAGTCCCGCTCTTTCCAGGAATCTAGAGTCCTCAGCTGCTTCCTCTCTCCTTGTCCCCATCTGGGCCTCCATCTCTGGTGTCACTTAAAACTAACTTTTTTTCCCCTTTTAAATCCTTTTAAGGCTGAATTATTTTCTTCTTTAAATTTTCTCATGAAACTATGAGTTTTAAATAGTAGAAGACATTTTGAATAAAATAGAAAAAAAATTGTTTTGAAATAATAGGGATTTGAGGATAAGTACTGGACTGGTAACTACAGGTTAACAGTTTAAACCCACTAGACTCTTTGAGAAACCCTATCTATACAGGGTCACTATGAGTCAGAATTTATGGCATACAACAGCAACAATATGGAGTTTGCTGCCATCAGTGGAACACATACACCCTGAGAGTTCTCTGGTGCTGGAGTTGCTAGGATGAGGTCCATTTCTTCAGATTCATTCTGTTATACAGGTCCCCACCACACGGCAACATGGACCCAAAGTAGGATAGCACCTTCCCACTACTCCTCAGAGACAGAAAGTGAGCACTGTATGTCCCATGGGTCACGAAAGCATTGAAGGAGGGAGGGAGGTATCTAAATATTATTCACTGTCAATGTAAATCTATGGGCAAAAGATGAAGCTCTCTGCTCCCAGATTTTGTCTCAGAAACCCTAGGAAGTATTTTTACTCTTGTTCTATAGGGACACTGTAACTAGATCACACTGTGAAAAGTCAGTTTCTTATAATTGAACAATTTATCCAACCATTAATTCTTGTCAAAATGTTTATAATCGTGAGTTATGGGTATGTGGAATGTATTTTTAGAAGGACCTTAGCTAATCAAGTGAGTCTAAAACTTCTGACTACTTTTTAGGAAAATATATAGTGGAAAATTTAGTATTGGGAATGCACTGTAATTATTTAGTCAAGGGCCTAGGTGAGAATAATTAAATTGAGAAAGGGGAACAATTTTCTGGAATTAACTATTCCTTTTTGGTCTGAGTCCAGTAACATGCTAATTAATATTCTTTTTCTGTGGTACCTATATGTTGGTATTATTTAATCCATCATCAAATATCATTTATTTACTTGCTAATTCCTGGTATGGCTCTATAGGATAAGCACTAGACTGTTAACCACAAGGTCAGCAGTTCAGACCCACCACCCACTCCCTGGAAACCCTATATAGGATCACTATGAGTGGGTTCCGTACCCATAGCGACCCTATACAGGATTTCTGAGAAGGGCTGGTGAGCTTAAACTGCCGACTTTATGGTTCAAACCAACTTTGCAGTCCAGCACATTAACCCACAGCACCACATCAGGACTCCAGCAGCAACATACTGAGAGAAAACGCTTTAGCGGATGACTTTTTAGGGACGTAAATCTCTTGGCCACAGACTAACAGATTTTTCTTCTCTGAAAACTTAGTATGTATAGTATACAGTTTCTCAGAAAGTAACTCATTTAAAATAATAAGTGATCTACCCATTATAGGACTTTGAGTGTGGTGCTATAGGATAAGCACTGGCCTGCTAACCACAAGATCAGCCATTCAAACCCACCATCTCCTCCTTGGAAACCCTATACAGAGTCACTATGACTTGGAACTGACTAGAAAGCACTTAACAACAACATACCTATTATTGGCTTGATGAATGAAATGTCACAAAGCTCCAAGTCTGCAAGAACACATCAACATAGGGCATTTTGAAAAGACTTGTCAAGTGAATTGAAGTTTAAAGAGAAAATATACATAGAACCTAGTTTTTTTTTTTTAATTCCATTATGTGGAGATAAAGTGGAGAACCTGATAAATGAACCCTCTGTAGCTAAGAACGAAAGCATATTCATTGTGTTGAATAAAGTAAGAAGAAAACACTTTAATTTTGTTTTTCCCAGTCTATCCTAATGATTGATGGGCCCTTGAGTCTTTTTGTTTTGTTTTGTTTTGTTTTGTTTTGTTTTGTTTTAATTACACCAGTTCTCAATGTAGTCCCTTAACTTTTTGCTTTGTTGACTTGGGCTGAAGACTAGTCTCATTTTATCTTACTTAGCAAGCCATTTTACTTGTTTCTGTTATTCTAGTTGTCTGAGGGAAGCCAAAAGCATGCCAGCTTACAGAAAAGCATTGAGAAAGCTAAAATTGGCCGACATGAAACGGTAAGTTTATGTCTTTAGATTTTTTTGAATAATGGCAATTGTAAGTAGATGAATAAGGACATAGAGGAGAGAGTATATCATTCCTTCCAGAAGAGAAGTGGAAACAACATGAGAAAGTCTGGCATAGTAGGTTTCATAATTGTGAATATAGATTTTTAAAGTTTTTATTGTATATAGCAGCATAACATAGATAAACCCTGGAACCAGACTGACTATTTTTGAAAGTCTCCTCAACTCACTGTTTCTCAGTGTTCTCAATTGTAAAACAGGAAATAGTAAAATCTACCTAACTGGGTTAAATTCGTTTAAATTTGCAAAGCACTTAGTAGAGGATCTGGGTGGATTTAAACGTCTAACCTTTAGGTTAGCAGCCAAACATGTTGACCATTTGGACCTCCCAAGGTCTCATGGCCCAAGGTAAGCTTGATATAAATGTTGCGTAAATATTTTGAGTCATGTTTTTTTTTTTAATGCTTTATTGTAAATTATGTGATAGTGTGATAGTTTACATGGGAGGAGAACATTAGCTTCACATTGATCACATCATATATTGTTTCCTTGCCATTGTTACAATCCCCTCCATGCATCATCCACCAACCAAAGGGTATACCCAGCAAGCCTGACCCCGGTTGTGCGCACACAGCCCCTCTTCCTCTCCAGGTCCAAAGTCCCCAGCCGCTCCATCTCTCCACGTCGTCATCTCTGCCTCCATTCCTGGCATCACTGCTTCTCTGGGTAGGGTTCCGTTCTCCGCTCTTCTCCCTTGATGGTCCCAGGTACCTCCACTCCTAGATTGCAAAGATAATCACTCCCCTTCCTTTGCCACAAAATGTCTACCTTTACATTTCCAGCCCTTACAATCAGTCCTGATAACTATTGTATTGCAAGAGATCTATCCGTATCTCCTTTTATTAGCCCCAACTATACAGAATGGATACTACTCAGTGGAGATTCTGCCTTGCTCCATGCCCTCTGGATGTAGGTTTCCTCTTGAAAGCTTGTAAGCCAGTCACTTCTTGCCTCTGTAGCCCCCTCATTCTGGGTAGCCATTGTCCAAGTTGCCCATTCCTATCCTTTCCGTGTATGGAGTGGGTGGGAATGATCCTCGCTGTAAAAATTTGTTCCCTCTTTTGAGCTACTGCATCCATAGATGTAGGTCAAGTTCATCAAATTGTTTCAGATTACTCTTTTTTTCCTCTTCTTTCTTCTTCTAGCTGAACTCTGATCATCTAGTCATTGAAGCCAGGTCAAGTGGGTATTATCTGCAAGTGTAGGTGTACTTTGCATGTACCCTCTCTTCTTATCAGCTAGATGCTTCACTCTCCACTCTAGTCCTCTGTGGCTATGTCACTGACTTTTTGAGTCATGTTTTTTTCTTTTTCTATTTAAAGTTTGAACAGAACAACCTGAAAACTCAGCATAACCTTGTAATATTTTTTAAATTATTTAAATGAATACTGACTAAGTTTATTTGTTTATTTTATTAGCCAACATTTCTTGTGCATTTCTTATGTGACCAGCATTGTTTTGCATTCTTGGGGTACATCATACTCAAAATCTTCATTCATTGAGTTTACTTTCCAGCAGGAGTTTGACAATATAGGAATATAGACAATAAATATGATAAATAATTACATAGTATGTTATAAAATAGTAAGTGCTATGGAAAAGGAAAAAGTTACCGTTTCTTGTCCCTACTGTTAAATCAGTCCCTAACTCATGGAGACTCCATGTATAATGTGATTAGACCATTATGATCCATAGGATTTTTTTTCTAAGTTTTTATTGTGAACTAGGTGATAGTTTAAGGTGCTCTGGTAGCGTAGTGGTTACAAATAGGGCTGCGAACTGCAAGGTCAGCACTTCCAAACTATCAGCTGTTCCATGGAATAAAAATGAGGCTTTCTGCTCCCGTAAATATTTACAGCCTCGAAAACCCTGTTCAGGGCCGCTATGGGTCAGAACCAACTCGACAGCACTTAACAAGTGATAGTTTACATGGGAGAACATCAGCTTTGTACCGTCATTCCATTGCAATGATTACAATCTCTTCTGTGCATCATCATTCAACACCATTCCCTGTTTTTGTTTTTTTTGTGTGTGTGTTTTTTTTTTGGTGGGGAGGAAAGTATGTACACAGAAACACTCAGGAATATATAATCATTTCAATAACCAAAGGGCACATTCTGCAAGCCTGCCTCCTGGGCTCCAGCACTCAGTCCCTCATTTACCATGAATCTAGAGTCCTCAGCTGCTCCCTCTGTCCATGCCCTCATCTCTACCTCCTTCTCTGGTGTCACTGCTTCTCTGGATAGGGTCCTGCATTCCACTTGTGCTCTTCTCCCTTGATGGTCCTAGGGTCCTCTATTTCTGGACTGTAAGATTAACTACTCCCTCGTTTTTATTACAAAACTTCTGCCTTTACCATTGTGACAGTCGCAATTAGTCATGATAATAATTACTCACTATTGAATCATAACAATCTTATCCCCATTTTTTTTAACCAGACCCATCTAGACAAGATGAAAGCTATTCATTGGGGACTCTGTCTTCCCACACACACTCTTAAATTCCCTCTTGAAAACTTCTAAGCCAGTCAGTTCGTGCCTTTCTTGCCCCCTCATTTTAGGTAGCCAATGCCTAAGTTGCCCATCCCTATCTACCCTGTATGTAGAGGGGATAGGATTGATACTTGATGTGAAGACTCCTACCCTGTCAGTTGGTATTTTGAGCTACTACATCCATATGTATAGGTCAAGTTCATCAAATTGTAGCAATTTACACTCGTTTCCTTTATTTAAAATTGTTGGGGGTTTTTTGTTTTGTTTTGTGTTTTATCTCCCTCTAATTGAGTTCTGATTATTAAATCATTGGGGCTAGGTCAAATGGGTACTATCTGCAAGTTTGGGTGTTCTTGTGCATCTCCCCTCACATCATATCAGCTGGATGCTTCACTCTCAGCTCTATCCCTCTGTGGCTATGCCCTTGTCCATGGGCTCAGTTGTCCCCAGGTCTCCCCACACTTTGAAGCAAACAGCCCTTTTCTTCTCTCTCTCATCTCCAGGTCAATGGGAGTCTATGGAATGTGGTTGAACTCAGCCCATTTCTTCATTGCTGCCTTTCCCCCTCTTGGATTTACCAGTAGACCAATTTGGTCGCCAGCAAGCTTACATGCCTGCTCATGTGTTCCCTTTGAGTTTCAGTCTTGGAGGAGGGTTTGTCCTGAAGGGGCTTGATTGCTTGCCTTGAAGGCTACCCAGCCAACAACTTGCTTTTTCTTGTAGTAGCCAATCATACTGCCATTTTTGTTTTGAATTTTTCCTGCTGATTTTTCTTTGAAGACAAATCTTGTATTGCTCTGGCTGTTTCAGGCTGGTCTACTTGTGCTTTCTAGTGGAATGTTGCACCTCAGAAGGTTCTGGATAGGGCTCAGAATTTCACCTAAGGTCCTATACACTGCAAAGGTTCCACAAGAAGCCTGTTTCACTGGGCAAGTTGTAGAACCCCTTTTAGGTATTCCAATCCGTTATAGGCTGGAGACAGGCTTACAAGCTTTCTGTAATCATATTTCCTGAAATTCCTTTCTATTCCCACAAGTACATATTTTACAGTAGTCAAGAGAAACCAATATTCATAAGACAGTCAAGCATCTTAACATCATTTCCCCTCTTCAGATTATGCCTTGATGCCTGTTTCACAGAGCCCTGTTGTTCCAAGGTTGAGCATACATCACTACTCATCTCTGTTCCATTTAGCCCATGCTAAATAGGGTTCCCCTATCTTCCTTGTTCTTCTACCCTCCTCCTCCTTCTTGGGTATTGCCCTTCCCAACACCTGATGTGTGTACCACAGAACAACCTGAAAACTCTCAGCATAACCTTGTAATATTTTTGAATTATTTAAATAAATACTGACTCAGTTTATTTTTAAAAGTGAATTGTTCTCTAACATATTTTTGTAAAAAATCATTTTACTTTCTCTTATCTTTATTTCAACTTTGGATTTGTGACTTTAAAAAGTATTGTTGATCAACATAAGCTACTAAGTGCACTCCATTTATAGGTTCCTGAGCAGTGCATATGATTTTCACTTGACTAACAGTCTGTAGGTTGGTGGTTTGAATCTACGTAGTGGCACTGTGTGAAAAAGGCCTGGTGCCTAATTTATCTAGTGCTACTGGAAATACAAGTCCTGACTCTAATGAACAAAATTGTATTCCTCACAGTTTAGGAGGCTAGAAAATCAAATTCAAGACACTGGCCTTAGAGGAAGTGTCTTCCTTCCTTTCTCTCCTCCCCCCCACCCCCAACTCGGAAGGAAGAGCCTGTTCTCTTTCCCACTTCTGTTTCTAGGTCATCATGTGGTATGTATATTCTCCACCTGTGCTTGCTTGCCTACTCTGCTTTTTTATATCTCAAAAGAGATTGATTTAAACTACACCATGCACTAATACTTTCACATTAACATAACAAGGAAACTCCTTCCCAAATAAGATTATAACCACAGGTATACCAAAAGAAAAACAAAAACCCATATCCTCTGCTGTAGAGTCAGTTTCAACTCATAGGGACTCTATAGAACAGAGTAGACCTTGCCCAGTAGGGTTTCCGGAGCCCTAGTGTGGTGCTGTGGGTTAATGTACCAGACTGCAAAGCCATTTGAACCGCAGGGTTGGTGGTTCAAGCTCACCTGCCGCTCCTCTGAAACCCTATACAGGGTCTATGGGTCGGAACTGACTTGATGGCACTTAACAACAACAACAGTAGGGTTTCCAAGGCAGTAATCCTTATGGAAACAGACTGCCGCATCTTTCACCCACAGAGCAGCTGGTGGGTTCTAATTGCCAGCGTTCTGGGTTGCAGTTGAGTGCACTAACCCATGGCACCACCAGGACTCCTCAACACAGATAGAAATCAAATTAAAACCTCACAGCCATTTAATCAGTTCCAACTCACGGCAGCCCAACATAGGGATTTTGAAATTATAAATCTTAATGGAAT